CGGACGCCTGTTGTTGCTGATATGCTAAAAGGCGGAAAATCAAACCCCTCCCCAAGAAAAAATGAAAAGAAAAAACCATCTAAGAGAACCACCCCCCAAAAAACAAAACGAAGAGAAACACGCACTCAACAAAGCAAAAGATGCCTTTTCCCCCCACCCCACCCACCCCCCACCCCCTTTTTCCTCCACCCCCTCCCCCCCTCCCACCGCGCAGAGGGGCCTTTTGGAGCGCTCCGTTGCGCCTCCGGTTTTAGCTTCTCCCAGACCTCGGGACTCAGAACCCGCTGGCTGCTGGCGTCCAAGCACCAAACAAAACCCGGGACCATGGGAAAACCGGGGGAGGGGGAGGTGGCGGCTAGTGGTTAGCTAGTGGAAACTCCTGCGGGGTAGTGGTTAGCTAGTGGTTGGCTGGTGGCTAGCTAGTGGTTAGCTCTATTTTTGTTGGCTAGTGGTTACAAATCCGGAAACTCCTCGGGGTTCGGGGGTGGAAAGCATCTTGGGTTTAGCCAACTAGCCAACTAACCTAGGAATCAACCAACCGATCAACCAAACTATGAGGCCAGGAAAGTTGAGAGCCTTTTGACCGCTTTCTGTGTCGAAGTCCTAATTATATAACCTGGAAGACCGTTTGGACATTCTGAATTTGAAAAATGCTTGAGCACATAGTGGACAGGCAAAACTCGTTGAAGACCACTCCAGCATCTTTGAAGGGCAACTTCCACTTCCATGATTTTGACAAAATAACTGCCACCTCCGCAAGCCGTCGCCCAAGCTCCTTCTGGAAACGGCCAGACGCTACACTTCCATGTTTGGAGAGCCCTCTTTCCAGAACAAAGCCGTGGTCTTGCAATCAGGTATCCCCGAATTTGGTCTTTTGGATTTGTGTTTTGGGGATGTGAACCCCTGGTAGAGGGTACATAGGAAGCTGTCGGCTCACCCTTTTCGCGCAAAACGCGGATTCAAGGCGCTGTTTTGTTTGGGCCCGGCAAGTTCAAGGCCCTCTCAGCTTGCCTTGGAAGAAGGATAAAGCAGGGACCCTTACATGAAAAACACCTCCGGCATGGCCTTGTAAATCGTGGCTCCCCTTTATTTGGGTGCTGAAAAAGCAACATGTTTCAAATGGAAAGGCAAAATGGAGATCTTTTAAGGAGCCCTGCAAAGGGAAGGGCTTTTGTTTGCACACATGGACACCTGCAAGGCACGGGGAAGCACGGGAACTTAAGGAACCAGGCACACAGATGATGTGGACAACCAAAGAGCTTTAGTGTGAAATTGGAGGGAAGATAGGGGTTTGACACTGGCTACCCCTAAACATAAGAAAGCATGTTGACCCAAAAAGCAACAAGCTCCAGGGAAGAAATGGGAACGAAGCAAGAACACGAAACAGCTTCCTGCGGCTTAGAAAGTCCGTGGCAACCTAAAGTCCCTGACTTGGATCATACGCGCCCACTTCAGCAGTTGGATGTTCATATTGTTTGGGCTCATAGGCTAGGTGCACCAGTGGTGCCCGTTTACCCTTTTGTGGGGGAGGGCTCCCCTACTAAAATAGACTACAGAAAAAAGGGTACACTTTGTTAGGGCTTGGGCGCTGAGGGTGCCCACTCTCATCTCGTCTTTGGACATCAAAAAGGGGAGCCTACGTTTGGAGTCTGAGTGCGGGAGCTGGTTTCGCATGAAAGCAAGGCCCAAAAGCACAGTGTGTGCCTGCGTGTGTATGCAAATATGTGGATGCACATACATACATAGAAAAAGAAAAAAGACAAAACACGCAATGTGTGTATATGTATATGTATGTGGATACTATACTCCATTCCTCCACAATTCAAACGTCCCCTCAACCTTTTCACGAGAAGCCCGTTCCCTCGAAAACCTCAGACGCCGGGGAGCAAAGCTGGCGGCCTCCTGCACGCGGCAAAATGTTCGCTTTTTTTTCTTGTTCCAGATGCAACCGGCGATGGCAATACTGGCTGGAGGTATTTTGGCTTTCCTAGCGCTGGGTTGTTTCTTAGGTCTGGCTTTTGTTAGGGCTGGCAAATGGACCATATCCCTTTCGCCACCAGTTGGGATTGGTGGTTTGTCCCACTATGGGTTCATTGATCTCAGCTGGTGCAGCATTTCATCCATCAGTAGGGGACTCTGCTTGTGGACACCTGCTTGGCGTTGACCACTTGGGGAAGCCATTTCGGAACTAAAGACCAGCGAAGGAGACTCTCTTGGCATTTTTTTCATTTGTCCACCCCACATGGAGTCAAAACTTTAGAGCCCTGGGTGTTTGATTCAAAAAGAGGCTAGTTGTATGTATGTGTGTATATATAGACATATATATATATATGGCTATGAATTTTAAAGGGGAGCCCCCTTGAAAATGTGGCCGGTGGACATAAATCCCCACCGAATTCTGATGTCCACCAAAGGGTCCGTAATTAAAACTCATACCCATATATATATATATATGTATAGATATCCAGCAATGTGGGAAGGATTGCCTTCAGCCTTGTGAAAGAAAACTGCGATAGGCTTCACCACCAACCCAAAATGGACTTGGGCACGGGTTCCGCGAAAGAACTGGATGTTCCAGCGCGGCGAACCGCGGACGAAATGCTGCAGGAATGATGATTCCCATGAAAATACCAATAAACACTGGTTTCAACCATGGTTTGAAAGTGAGAAAGTGGGGGAGGATTTCGTCCATCCACAGTAAGGCCGGTTTCTGTGAGGATATCCATGCAATTCCTGGATTGCTGGAAGCCAACACATATGCCGATTGATTCGTAGGGCGTGCAACTCACTTAAGAGGGAATCTACAGCAGATCGCTCGCCATCCAAAAAGAAACGATCTCGAGCCTTCCGATCCACTTGCTTAAGTCCCCTGGGAAAGAACAAAGCAGGTATTCCAGATTCCGCTAAAACAAACAGGATAAAGAAGACAATATTCCTAAGCAAATGGAAGCTGGACTAGAAACAGTTTGTTCAATGGTTCAACCACTCCCCAATTCCATGCTTCAGGGGGTGGGGGATGTTCCCTGTTTGCTAGGAAACCACTGGCCCAGAAAAGCTCCAACGAGGTGACAGGACGGCCTCCAATGGTTGTGCTGAATTTGTCTCATGCCACGTGAGATATATTTCTAGAAGACGGACTGGGCGTGTTTTCTCTGGATTCCCCGGTGCTTTACCAGTGATCTTATTCAATACACGTGTTGTACTCGTTTGCTACGCTGGGGTGCATCCACAAACCGCATCCAAACCGTTTCCTAGAATCGTTGCTTGGGCCGTAAAAGTAGTCTCACTTCCGATCGAGCGGATTGTCAAAAGAAAAAGCCCCCAAGCTTTTGTTTGTCACTAACATGGTCCTCCCAAGTGCCTCAAGTCCATGAGCTCAAGAAGTGAGTAGTAGCCAATATCAACTCAGAGATCTACGGGTGGAAACGCAGCAACGCGTGCTCCGTTCCATCCCAGCGCATTTGGGGTTGCAAACCAGAATGGTACGTGGTGTGTCTGGTTGCGTCAGAATTGACCCTGAAAATGCAGAATTGGAAACTGTGGCCCTAATGTTGAGCCCAATAAACCAGTTCTATTCATAGGGGGGAGGGGGGCCCCTCCAAAAGCGGTCTGAATCCCCACTGCAAAGGGGAACACTCTATTTATTCACCAGGAGGTTGTTTGTCCGCAGTTCAAATTACTTTACTTCTTTTGTCCGCTGGAGCGACGCAATTAATCAGAACTGGATCATCCCTCGCCTCACCCCCCCCCCTGCCTGGGCATGTTCTTCCTTAGATTCGGGGAACACAAAGCGACCCCTCGAGGGCTCCTGTCTTTCCCAGGGAGTCTGAGCGAAAAAAGGCGGTCAAAGGTCTTCGTGACCTTTGACGTGAGTGAAAGCGAGTTCCGCCTTCGAAAACGGGCCCCAGAAGGGTCCGGGCTGAGTGGCTCGGGGTGGATCTGCTGGGGCCTCAAGAACTGGAATGGGGTTCATGGCTACGTTAAGCGCCATGATCATACGTGCGTATTCTGTAGGAGTACCGTTTTTGGGGTGCTTTTTGGGACACGTTTTGGTTGGCAACCGCCACTTTTTGCTTGGCTTCGTGGTGAGACGATTATGAGAAACAAAGATAGTGATTCAGCCCTGAATTGTCATTAGGGACCCCGACATGGTGAACATCAAAATTCGGTGCGGCAACATGTCCACCAACCACATGTTAGGTTGGTGCCCTCTGAAAATTCCTAGCCACGTATTTTCTAAGAAGACCCCCTCGTTCTCGATCCCGCGACAAGCGCGCCTGCATGGTCTCGAGACCCGGCATGGAGGGCGAGCGATAGAAAATATGAGCCGAGAAGACTCGATGGGCGGCTCGCCAAAGGGACATGCAGCTGAGCGTGCCCGACGGTCATAATACCTACACATGGCCTCGCCTAAGTTCAGATAAAATCCCCTCAACAAACCATTTCACATAATATTGTTTAATCATTTCATAACAGAACCTCAACTCAATAGTTCATACATAAGGCCCGGTGGCTTCCCTGTGAACCACCATTTAGGATGGAATCATCTCGCAGTTTAAGGTCAAAATGTCCTTTTGAAACATGGGTGTCTTTTTGCCACCTTTGTGAGAAAATGGGCGACCCCCTCAGAATGGAATCCTTCACTGGGAGAGGGTCGATCAATTTTCTACAATTGGTGGCAAAAAGACCCCCCCTGTATTGAAAGGCTCTGCAAACCACCTGGGTTCCGTTGCAGCGCCTTGAGATTGCACAAAGGTCAATATGGCGTGTTAGGCTGAGACTCTATCGGAATTGTGGCTGTACATCTTCAAAAAGCTAGGCTGGAACTAGGACCCCAGCAAAAATTATCTTTTTTGCCGGGTTAGTGGAAAGCAAAGAGACCCAACAAAAGCCAAAAAGAAAGAAAAGGGGGGAGCTAATTCCGGGGAAGAAAAAAGGGCCCCTGAGGATCGCCCAAAAGTAGGAGGAGGCGACCCAAGCGACAAGACTGCGGAAGCTGCCTGCTGCAGGAATCGCACGCCCCCCCTCTGGGCAGCCTCCTCAACGTGGCCTCGGACAAGCACCACAAGGACTTGGGTGCTGCGGGTCTGGAAAAATACGCTGGACGAAATCCGTTCGGCCCACCCAAGAAATCATGGTTGAAACAATCACGTCTGTCGTTATTTACAGGGGAATCATCGTTCCAGGGTCTCTGAGGTGGTGCGAAATGGATTTCGTCCATGCAAAGTACTTCTTAAAAGCAACCTCTGCCAAACAAGGCATCCTCCAAAAGAAGCCTGAACCATTGCTGAGGTCGCATCCCCCCCAAAAAAAAACACAAGTGGAACAAATTGGGCCAAGCTAAAAAGGGCAAACCAAGAAATATTGTTTCCCCAGCTGAGGTTTGGCTGGGGGCTGGTTCAACTTCGGCAGGTCTCGATCTTAGTCAAGGCGGGACCCCTGGAAGCAAAAGGCCCTTCCAGGTTCGCGCTTGGCGAGCCTCAGGGATGTACATCCGGCCCTCTTGCTGGTAGACAAAGGTACGGTAAGGGCCGACAACCTACCTGGAACCGGGCTACAACTACGCGAACTCACGATCATGCGGCAATCATGTGTGCAATTCTATCGCCCTATGTTGCTTGTGCTTTTGTTGTGTTGGCCCGCTCCTTTTCTCGATCGGCACAGGGGTGGACACTTCGCTTCTGAGAAGTGTTCCACCCTGACCTCTGGTTTTTTGGAGCAAGCCAAGAGGCCTAGCAACCAACGGCCCAGCAACCCAAGGGTCCCAAAAAAAACGGCAACCCAACTTCCCGGTCTCCATGGGGCTACCCAATTCTTGCGTGGCTTTCTGTGGGTGAAAACCGAGCCACGTGTTTTTGCTGCTGTGTGTCTGTGTGTGTGTGTTTTGGCGCGGATCTGATGTCGCTTGGCGTCTTTTGTGCGGGGAACGCGAAGGGAAGGCCGAGGCCGAGCGCGAGGGCTCCAATTCCCATGACCCGCTCAAGTTCCAGGGCCGCGGCCCTTGGCTTCCGCCAGCTCCGCCTCCCAAGTCGGCCCCGCGCCCCGGGCTCCGAGGCAAAAACGGCCCAAGTCAACTGGGCGGCTAGACCAAGCCTTGCGCACACACACACAGAGAGAGAGACACACACACACACACACACACAATGGTTCAGGAGTTGCCTTGATCCCTGACCCCGACGGCAAAGCAGCCTTCAACGTGGCCGCTTCGGTGTGCGTCGAATCCAGTAAGTACAGCCGCCCTTGATTTGTTCTGACACTAACATGAAAGGACCGTCATTGGAGTACGTTTAATAACACACGTTGAGTTTAGGATTTCTAGAGTCTCCATGAGATAAGTCTGAGGTTCATTCCCCATCGGAGGTTCCGACTCCGCACACCACGCAGCTCGGGAATGGGAAGTTGGAAGTGGGGGGGGGGGCCCTGGTTCATCTAGCCAACTTAAGCCACATGTCCAGCTGATTGCAAGAAATATGGGTGTGGCAATCAAAAATAAACGATCGGAGGGGCAAACCGCATGTTTGGGTTTCCATGTGTCCACTTACCAGGGCAACCCATTTTGGAATTCCGCTTTTTTTAGCCACAGCCATATCCTTGAACCTCTTGATGCGTTGTGTTCTGTGGAACAAGGTGTGTCCATTGCACCCGGGTCAAGCAGGCCTCGCCCCTGGTGGTGCAAACTCGGAGCCGATTTTGCAACTGTGTCCTTTAGGACGTGGGGTGTTCTAGACCAGGGGTGCTCCTATTCAATCTTGGCAGGTAGGGAAAAATGCCGCCACTTGGGTGGAGTCAACAGAATCAACCATGGTTCAAACTCCTGCACACGGCGGATAACTGTTGTTGAGATGGGAAAACAAACATTTGCCCCACGTTCAGTAAAAGAAATTGACGCTCTTGATGGCGTAATGGCTATGGCAGCTGATGAATCTTGCATACAATATAAAATGCTTAATATAAGTTTCAAAGGTCCTGCTGTATAGGGCCCAAGAGCTCAATCAGATAGATTGTTATATGTGGAATCTACGCAAACAATATGCTCAATTATCCAGGCCTTGCAGTATTTTTTCAAGAGTGCCAAATATATTCATTTGTCCTCAAAATCGTGTAGAGCGTATTTTATTAGAGACCGGACAGAGACTATGGGCAAAATGCACTATTGTTACTACTGGAACATGTTTGAATGCAAAAGTTCATATAGGAGACAAGTCTAAGCCTTGCGGAAGATCTAGTGAACATACTCTTATGAACTTGCTCAAACCGAACGATGCGACCAACGAGCAACCAAGATTGCTCAAACCTCCGCAAACGGAGTCCAGGGGCACCGCAAGGGAACCGACGGCGCCCAACGCCCCCCCCGCCCCCCCCCCCGCGTCGCCCCCGTCGCCTCGAGTTCCTTAAGCTTGGAGTTGAGGATCCTGGCGACTCGGTCGACTCTCAGAGCCCAAGCTGCCGATGTTCCAAGCTGCATGCCAATGGGGTCTCTACCGGAGTGGGTTTTTCCCCGCTGCAAGCGGCTGATTTATTGGGGCTTGGATCCGGATGGCTTCCGGATGGGTTGCGGCTTGGGGCGAAATGTGCGAGTGGACGTTGGGCCCCCCCCCAACGAATTCTTTAAAAAAAGAATTCGGCACCAATGGGCGTCTGGACCTTCAGGGCGCTCCGCCAAATGGGGCGTTTCTTAACGTTAGGCACCGTTTCGTTGGTTGGCTTCCTCTTGGTTTCCCCTTGGCTTCACTGTCCCCTCTCCATTTCCTTGCATTTCCCTTCCGTTCCCTTCATCTCCTTTTCTTCCTTCTGCTTTCGCTTCCCATCCTCTATTTGGAGAGACGCCCATGTAATGTGCAGATTCATACACCCTGCAGGTCAACACGGGGGCCAACGTCTCCCAAAAGTGATCTGGGCGAGCTCCCCTATTCATTAACCATGTGCTGACTCACCCTCGGCTCACATAAAACCAAGGTGTTCCCTCCCAAAAAAGAGTCCTCTGAAACATAGGTGTCCTTTTTGGTTGGCGAGGTCGAAAATGGATGGCCCTGGTAGATGATTGATTGATCACCCAGTAAACCTGAGTCATCAATTGTCACCTAACCAACCAGTGCAGGCTCAATGAAGATAGAGCAAATCGATCTAAAGCCCTGGATGAAAACATGGGCGTTCTCAATGTTCCTGTTCTAAGCATCATTTTCAGCAAGAGGGAGCATCTAAAACTAGCTCAAAGGAAAACTTGAGAAGTACTGAACAACTCAGAGTAACTCATCCATGGGCATGTAGCATGTTGGGAAATGACCATACAGCATAGATCCCGACTCACGTGTGTGTCTTTCATTGAATTGTCTTCCTTCTCCGGGTCTTTTGCTAAGGGAAGAGAATGCATGTCACGCAGCTAATCACTCGGCAACCTTCCAGTGAATTTCGGAGCCACCCCCTCCGAAGCTGAGAAGCTTCGATGATCAACGGCAGGGGTTTGATTCATAGGGTGTCCGTGGTCGGGATTTAGACCAGTGTAGACAAAAGGACAAAATCGACTTAGATCCGGGGTCTGCTTTGATTCATAGGGTGTCCGTGTTTAGTGGGGATTCAGAGTCTTCAGACCACTTGATTCATTGTCCATAGGATTCATAAACTCTTGGGGATTCAGAGCATACCTCGATACTGTGGATGGTTGCGAAATCCATAAATCGCACCACGAAATGAACCCATGGTTGCAACCATGGTTCGTTGGTAACAGCGTAATTTACAGGGGAATCGAACCATTTCAGGGTGTGGGTGGTTGCAACCATTGCTTGCCGTTTCAACGAGGAAGTCGAACCATTCGATCCGGGGTCTCCAGGCAGACCGCCAAAAACCCCAGGCGCTTGTAGGTTTTGGCCCGTTAAACCCAAAAAAAAAACGAGAGGAAGCCCAAAGAAACCAAAAAAGCCCCGAGAAAACCCACAAAAACCTGCCCGGCCAAGGTTTGAGGTCAGGCTCCCGAAGCAGCCAGAGATCGCCCCCTTTTCCCAACGAGAAGCCGGAAGACATCCCCCCCCCGTTTTGACACATGGCTGTGGGTCAAAACCCACAAAACCCCTGGTGAACATCAAAGTAGGTGGTACATGGGTGCTCATCCGCCCCAAAATGGCTCGGCATAGGTTATGACTGATGGCCACATACCCATAGGCACCAAACTTCTCGATTTGGCCAGGCAGGCCGTCGTGAACCGCAAGCCTTCGCATGGAAACATTCCTTTCGCAAACCAGCTGGCTTACCCCTCTTGTTGCGGAATCCGGTCACAGATCTCCCAAGGGATTTGTGGTATTTTTTCTTCGGGTGCCTTATCTTTATCTGGCCTCGCCAAAGATCCACCAACTCCGCTCGCCACCTTTCGGCCGCACGCCTCGTGCCCGAAGGCCCCTTTCTGACGAATCCGCAGCTCTCGCATTGAAACGCTGGAAGGAACATGCGAGCCCCCGCAAAGAACAGACCAGGCAAGCAGGCGCCGGGGCTCTCTGCCAACGTGAATATGTCCTATGCTCGCGGGATGCGCAGAGTGCCGGATGTTGACTGGCCATAGGGTCGATGCGTTGTTGGCTGCCAAAACGAAGCAGCAACACAAAACTGTCTGAAGGTGGGTCTGCAAATGCCATTGCTGGTCGTTCAGACAGGTTGCAAACTTACTTCTCCACCCAAAAAGTTTACACCACCATAGACCCCAAATAGCAATGATTGCACACCAGCATCTCCCAACAGCTATCTGGGGAAAAAAGGCGCCTCAGGCTGTAAGTTTCGATCAAACATTCGGCCCTTTCCGACTTTGAGAAGCGGCAAGCCGTCAGATTCACGTCAGGGGAACTCTCCCCTCCAGCTCTCAGAAAGAGGGCCGCCAAGCTCCATGGACCTGACACGAAGGGTAGGCTCTCACTTCAAACCATTTCTGATCCCTACTGTGGATGGTTGCGAAATCCATTTCACACCAATTTGAAACCATGGTTGAAACCATGGTTCGTTGGTATTTACAAGGGAATCGAATCATTCCAGGGTTTAGTAGGTGGGAGGGGGGTGGGGGGGGGTCCAGAATTCCCAATTCCGTTTTAAAAGGGAAAATGGTTGCCCATAAATGGGGGTCGAAATCCCCCTTCCCCCAATTCCATTCTTAAGTGGGTGGGAATAATTCTGTCTTGGCAAGTCAGTCCTGCGTCAACTGAAGCGACACGTCAAAAGTGACATGTCCTGTTCATTCTTCTGTCACGCGTCATTGCATGATAGGCCAAGACCTGTCAACCCGCAAGGGCAGCTGTCCAGGGTATTGCGTCCTGCCACATGTGCCCGTTACCAACCCCAAGCGAAGAGGCCTTGTTGGCACATGTCTGGCTATGTGTCACAATAGCCGCACCCCCAAAATGGCTTCGGCTTTCCTGGTTTCCCTATGTGCTTCAGCCAGGGAGTCTCGAAGCAAGAGACGGGCTCTCCCCGACAAACTCACATGAAACCAGAAGATGTTCGGGCCTGCACAAGGAGGCTGCCCTCAACACAGAAGTGTTCGCAGGTTCCGCGTCCCGCTTGCAACCGAATACCAGGGGATCCATTTTGTCCAAACGTTGTGTGGAGGAAATAAACCGCCCGCTGGGCGCAAGTCTGTCGACTGGTCACTGCTCAACTGCTTGGCCTTCGGCATCGGACGGACGTCGAACTCCTCTCACCATCCATAGCTCTTGCTCTTGCCTTTGCCCTTGCCTGGCCAAACAAATCAAAGCCACGCACACAGGTGAGGAAAAAAAAACAGACACGTCCCTGGCAAGTGGCCTATAAAAAAGATATCCAAACCGGTGGACCCCATCTATTTATTCTAACCCACCTAAGAAGGACGCGTTGCTGGAAATGAACGAAAAATCATAAATTGGCGGGTTCCAGGGCCTGGGAAGGCTGCATCTTCACGAGGGGCCGAATCATTGGAGAGACCTTCCCGTACGATCATGCCATGTGGTTCGAAGTACCCCCAACCCACTCCGGTTGTTTCACCATGTTTCGCCATAGAAAAATCATACTTCCGGACTTCTGAGCTGCTAGGTCCTCCAGTAGAGAGGTTAGAATAATACCCTTTATTTTCTGTAGTCTATTTTAGTTGGGGAACCCTCCCCCAAACAGGGTAAAAGGGCACTACTGGGCACCTAGCCACTTATAGAAAACATCGTGCTTCCTGACTGAGCTGGCTCTCGCATGTCCGCTTGGGGGCTCTAAGAGGTGAAACCAGCAAGCCCGCAGAGAGGCTCGACTTACATCGTCAAGATCCCTGCCCCCCACTTCGGAGGGAGATGGGGGGGGTTCCGGGCAGCAAAGTCCATCGCTCGAAATCATGTCCGCCTCCCCACTTCGGCAGTCTTTAGGTTGGGGCTTACCAATCTAGTGTTCAGGGAAAGTGGGTTGCCAAAAATGGAGAGCTCCAGAAAACGGGTCGAAATTCTGCCTCCCCAATTCCATGTTCTGGCTTTGCATGTTAAGAGCTTCCACCCTTGAGATCTGGAGCCTGGGGTTCCTCGAAGAGGCAGGGCCAGATGCGTCCAGGGCTTTGGATGCTGGTGGTGTGGCTCAAGATGGTGGTCGGCACAAGACGCACACCGGACCACACTCTGCAAGCAATGGCAGTCTGGCTAGTTTCCGAACGCATCGACAATGCATGCGATAACGTCTGCATGTGTGCCTTGCAAAAAAGGAAGAAGCAAAGAACAAGCCGACCCGAAAGTCTCGGAAGATTCCGGCGCGGCTCCTTCCCTTGGAATCAAACCCTCAACTTCCAGTTGCCAATACGTTCCTGACAAAAGTCATTTCAAGTAGGCATGGACTCCCTGCAAGGCCATCCGGAGAAAATACCACATCTTCAGAAAATGGGCGCAAACTGGAGCTCTGTTTCTAAAGCTGCTTTTGTGCCAACTGGCAAAGCTGAGCAATCAATAAGAGCAAAAGGTGGATCACCTTTTCTAGGCTGAACCCGCACAAGCCATGCGGGTGTGGTTCTCTTTTTTTGAGATTCGGACCACCAAAAGGATTGTTGTGTGTTCCTTTTGGTGTCCCTGGAAAAAGAAAAGAAAAAACAACGAAAAGGGGGTACCAACAACAAAAAGACAGGCCCATGTGTAACGAAAAAAGTTTCTCCGGGGCCTTCGGGGTCCACCCTTGAGACTGGAAAGCAAACCTGACCGTGCCAGCCGTGTCAAAATGGGACACTGGTTTCATTTGACACATCCCCGGACCAACCTCAAAGTTCTATATTGGTGTCCTCTTGCAGACCCAAAAGACCATCCCCATGGTTTTCAAAACACACTTCAGTCATGGCCCACTAGACTACATAGAAAACAATATGTTCGGAGTCTGCTTCACATGGGTGTGGGTCAAAAATAGGTAGCCAAAATGGGGCCCTGGTGAATGGAAACATGGACTA